CGGCGGGTGGGAAGAGGAAACTCCTCGGCCTTGGCTGTGGGATAAGGATCAAACCTTGCAACAGCCCTAAACTGGATTTAAGCCAAAGCAAGCAAACAAACAAACAAACAAACAAAAGCCAAAAGAAAACAAGGCAGCCTGGGTCAGTGCGTGTTTTTAGCAGAGGTCGAGGAAGGCTGAGGCAGCACGAGGGCCCGGGAGACCTCAGCGCCCAGACCTGGTCGCTGCGTCCAAGAAACATGACCTGTGACGCAAAGGAGCACGAAGAGAGCTCGGAGGCTGTCTGGGGACACGGGAACCCTTTGCTACAGTGAGATCGTGGTGGGGAGCTCAGCTTTCCTATCCTAGAAGGAGAAAAGAATCTATCAGGTGATCCGCTGCCATCTATAAATACACCCAGGGCATGAGTAAACATCAGGGAGAGAAAAAAAAAATAAAGTGCAGCTGGAAAACGGCACTGGCACTAAGACACATTTATAGGCACTGGCCAGGAATGAGTTTAGGCTGGAAGGGAGGTGACAGCTCCTGCCCAGCTGTGCCAGGAGGTCCTCAGGAGGCTCAGCTGGGGCCACTGGGATAAACCTCTTCCAAGGCAGAGCACAGGCAGCTTGGGAAAGGAGGTGACAAGGCCCTGGGGGACTGCTCGAGCCTCTGTTCCTATCCCCAGGAGGCCAAGAGCTGCCCCAGCGGAGAGCACGGATGCCTCTGCGCATAAGACAGGACCTGCACACAGGAACCGCTTCCCACCAGCTCGCCGCAAACCCCTGCAGCGGGATATGGAGAGCCAGAAATCCAGCACAGGAAGACATGAACCCCTCCCTCACTCACCAGCCCTGGCTCGCAGCCCTCCCACATCCAGAATTAAAACCGCAGCAAAGCCGAACCGAAGCATCCCTAACAAAAAGGCACCAGCGCGACCACGCTGCAGGCATGTGCATGGGCAGCCACGCGCTGAAAATCCACCGCTTTTTTTCCTTGCACCGCTCAGGCAGGATGAAGATGCTTCATCTTCAAGCAGGGGAAACATCCTGCTTTGCAGCTCAGCCCACGAACAGGAAAGGTTCCCGCAGCAGCAGCAGTGTTTTCCCAAAGCTGGGTGCTTGTTTTGGCATCAGGAAAGGCTGTCAGGTTGTTGTCAGCTGTTTAGATGCCGTACCCAGGGTGAACGAGCTCACATGACATTCACTTCTGGCACAGTGCTGCTCGGCTCACGGGCTGAAAATATCCAACCGATTATTAGGAAAAAAATGGCTACTTATAAAAAAATGTGGGACCGTTCCTGCCACTGTAATACAATAGTGTCAAAACAAAAACTAGTCCGTGCAGAACACAGGTCTGGCCAGGCTGCTGCTCAAGTTTTGCTGGGATGAAAATATTTACTTGTATACCAGAATTTTTGGTGTCATAATCATGGCAGTGGGTGATACCAGTGAAGGAAGGAGTGCTGCATGCTCTCTGCAAAACTGGAAGCCTCACCCACGTGGGACTCGGTGCCTTGCGCTGCAGAGAAGCACCTGCAAAAAGCAAAAGGGAAGAAGCAAAACCCTCGCTGTCTCCTGAAACACCCTGAACCCTAAACCCCAACTCAGCAGTGCCAGACCAGAAGAAGGATTCACACGGAGCTCTGCAGGTGACACGTGAGATGGAGCCTGCAACATAGGTGCTCCGGACATGCACAGCCCACTCGTATTCCCTCCGCCCTCTGGTCCCCGGCGCTGCTCCGGGCTCAGCTCCCTAAGTGGGAGTTCAGAATTACTTCAACAGAAACAGAAAATGAACAAAAAGAAAAAAAAACCCAAAAGCCAAAGGCTGCTGACAGTTTCCACACTTTGGAGAATACTTCTGGCCATGTCTGTGATTCGGAGGGCGGCTGGGAAACCCAACTCCTCAAGGGCTTTGGTAACATTTAATTTTCATTCAGAGGTTTTCATGCCAGGCAAAATAACAGAAAAATATATAAGAAACTTCTACTACTTAGATATGTCTAAAAGCAGAGGTCCTCTGGCTGCGCTGGCGATGCTGCAGCACCTTCATCGCCTCTCAGCCACGCGTAGCGATGCGTTGCCGTGGCAGGAGTGATGTGTGGGAGATGGCAGGAGCTTAGGGCACCCGCAGAAATGCCGTTTTCCGTGTAGCTTTCATCCTTATCAGGGCCAGCATCAGCGCCGGGTGCACAGGTTGATGGTCACAGCCCAGCTGCCACGTTTGCTCTTGCACAATTTGCAGCTTGGTATCGTGTGGAGTTTAAAAGGCTGTCGGTAAATCCCGTGCCGTGCCACCAGCCTTTTCATGTGCTACACATGTACATAGAAACAAAGGCAGCCAGAGCCTGCCATGAAAGCCAGAGCCACACAGATAAACCTCTGCAGACCCAGATACCCTTTGAGATAAGCAGCTAAAATTAATTTTCGGTGAAGCTGCTTGTGACAGCCCATCATCTCTCCCCAGCCCAGCTCCACAAAATAATCCCCTCCAGCGAGAAGCACCTTTACAGCGAGAGGCTCCAAGCAGCATTACCGGAGCTGAGACAGGGAAAGGTGAAAGCTGCTGGGGCAAAACTGGTTTTCGCTCACGTTTCCCAGCAGAGCCCCCAGCATTCCCACTCCTGTTTATGAGGAGGATGTGTGTCCCCAAGCCCAATGCCAACAGGGACCAGGTGCCACTGCTGTGTCCAGAGCATTGCGATCCCTCTGGGCTGCGGCAGACACAGAATGGGGCACAGAGGGCAAGGAGGGACATAAAATAGCCCTGAAGCACCGCAGCTCCATGGGGCTGCCAGCGCTGCAGCTCTCAGCATCGCTGGTCCTGCCGGCTGTGCCGGCCGGCGAGGGTCCACACCGGCAACACGGTGCAGAGGAAAGGGGGTCAGTGGGAAGGCTTGATCAGTGTCCGGTTCACAGCTCCGAGGGGGACCTTGGCTCCCCTCATGCCGGGGTTGGAGGGGCCTCCTGGGCTCCCGTTGCCTCAGCCCAGAGGTGGTGGCTCAGGTGGCCATGGGGGTGGCCGGCAGCTCCACGGCAGGGCCGGGCGGCGAATCGGCACTGCTGCTGGTCACGTTCTCATATTTTGGCTCTTCCTCCGGGGCAGCCTGTCCCTTCATTTCGAGGCTGAGGACTAACTCAGGGCTTTTGCCCTTCTCTATGGCACCCAGGGCATCACCAGCCCCATCCTGGGCCTTGGTGCTTTTCGGTGAGGGAGATGCGAGAAGAAAGGACAGCCTCTTCCCAGGGAGATGCTGTTGTTTGCCAGGGGACGGCTCAGCAGGAGCCCCTGGGATGCTCTCCCTCTGCTTGCAGCTATTCACTGAGTCTCTGCGCTGCGCCAGGGCCTGGCGGGGCGGTTTCTGGATAGCCTCGATGCTCCTCCTCACCTTAGTCTCCTCCTTTGCAGCCCACTTGCCCCTCTGTAAGCTGCCCAGCCGCTTGAGCACAGCCTGGACTGGTCCCTCGCCACCCCCCTCCGCCTTGGGGTCCTGCCCAGCCGTTCCCACCATCATGTAGATGGTGGTGACGTTGGGCTCCTTCCCCTTTGTCTCCCAGCTGCTGGATTTTGCAGCTGCTTCAAGAGCCTCCACTCTCTGGGCCACGTGCCTGGTGCTCCCCTCTGTAAGCTGCCCAGCCGCTTGAGCACAGCCTGGACTGGTCCCTCGCCACCCCCCTCCGCCTTGGGGTCCTGCCCAGCCGTTCCCACCATCATGTAGATGGTGGTGACGTTGGGCTCCTTCCCCTTTGTCTCCCAGCTGCTGGATTTTGCAGCTGCTTCAAGAGCCTCCACTCTCTGGGCCACGTGCCTGGTGCTGGAGACCCCCTGCCGGCGTCCCCCTGGGGTGGCCCGGGGCGATGGCCGGTGGCTTTCCTCCACCTTGCCGAGGGGCTCTGGGCTCTCGTAGCAATCACTGGCTGGCCGTTCAGTGGGGGACTCAGCCGCCGTGTCCCCCAGTGGTGAGGACAGCTTGGATGGGCCCCATGGGGTCTTGGGCTTACGCCCGGGGCTGGGGGTCTCTGCCGCTCCAAATTTCGTCCCCTCAGCGAAGGACACGGAGGGCCGCTTGGCCTTGGCGATGCTGGAGGTGCGGGGGATGGCGAAGGGCTGCGAGACATCCTCCGAGTCAAAGGCAGACGGGTCTGGGAGCACCTCGCCGGGGGGGGACGTCCCGTCCTGCAGCTCGGCCCCCCCCAGCAGTGGGACGCCTGTGAGAGAAGGGGACGAGGGTTAGGGCTGCCAGAGCTAGCCCCTGCTCAGGGACGCACGCAGGGACATGGGGACAGGGGCTGATGCAATAGGATTGTCCCTGGGAAGGTTTTCCCGGGAGGAGGTTGTGAAATGGGGCTGCCCATACTGGGCACGTCCCATCACATGAGGCCAAGCACGGCCCCAGTGTGTCCCTGCAGACAGGAAAATGAGGTTATGAAAATAGTTGCTGCCTGTGCCCAGAACCTGTCCCTGGGACACCCAAGGCTGGTAGCGGGGCAGGATTGATCCCGCGCAGCCCAGAAGGGGGGGAGGACCAGCCATAGATGTCACCTTCTCTAGGAGGGACAGAGTACTCAGGTCCCTCGTTGTCAGTGTCGAAGGAGGAGGAGAAGGAGCTGTCTGAGACCCACGCAGCCGACGGTGGCTCGATGAAGCTGGGGTTGAAGGGGATTTCTGTGTCGTGGTGGGAAACTGGGGAGGAGAAGACACCCAGCTGAGCTCAGGCACCCCGGGGTGCTCAGGGCTGGGGCAGGAGAGCACCACCTGCCCTGAGACATGCCACGGGGTGAGGGGGTGCAGGCTGGATGCATCACCCCCCAAATGGTGACGATGCAGAGAGCGTGGGGAGGGGGTGACAGCCTGGAAGGGCTTTTGGCGGTGCTGCTTTTTTTACCTGTGACTTTGGGAAGTTTGTAGCCACCCAGGGAAAAGCAAGGCATCATAGCGCTGAGGTTTGCCAGCACCCCCCGCACGTGGTGCTTCATCCTGGCCAGCACATCATCATCCGCCACGGCCGCCCTGCGCCGGGGAGACGGGCGTGAAGGGATGAGGGAGACAGGGTTATGCATC